GTCATTAATCCGGGATCCATTTCGATGCTCCTCTTGACAGCCCTTTTGTCCTCTTCGATGGACCAGGACGACCCAGACGCTGCTCAGTTGTTTCCTTGCCATGTTTCCTGAACTGCACGATGATTCTGTTGACTGCCGAAAGCGGGATTCCCAATTCTGCGAAATTTGCCGCTGGCTTATTTCACCATCTGCTTGACCAACCATCCTTCCTCTAATAAAATCTGACAATTCGAGAGAACCTTGAGTTCTAGGCATGTTGTAGCGGACCATTTTCATTTATATAGTGCTTTGTGAACACAAATTAGTTAGCATAAATCAGTTAAATAACGAAAAATTAAGTGTCTATTTAATTGTGACCACTCAATGTATATAATTGGAATGGTGGGACCCAAAAATTAACGAGAACAGCATTTATTGTTTAGTTTGGATGGACTGGCATTAGAAGCCACAAAATATCTAGAACTTTACCAAATTCTGTAACTGGAAAGCCATTGTCATGGAGTCACATCACCAAATCGACCTAGTAGAATATCAGGCTCATAAACTTGGTGGCTATAAAGTTTACTGTGTAGACCAATGTGAAGCAATTCTTACACTTTAATGCATACCCTGTCATAGTAGTAGACAATCAAAGAGGCATCCTAGTTAATAAGATTGTGTAAAGACTCCCTAGTGATTTTATGTGACATTACTTTGTCATTAGAAATATGTCTAACTGAAGTTGTATCTATTGTTGCGTATCTGCTCGTTTGTTAATTTCTGGTATAAATTCTTTCTGAGGAATGTCAGTGATACAAGTCCTTTCTTAATTAAAACTAGTTTATTCTTTCTCGATACAACTTTGTAATACACAGAATTTCCACAGTCACTTTTAAATTAACAACCTTTATAACACATGCTATAAATCACAGTGGTTCAAACACTTTACTTACAGTGCTTACTGTTTGCTTGACTCAGTTATCTCTATCTTCAATCTATCTATCTATGTCATCGTGCTGGTTTTTCTCACCAGGCTTATATAATGAAAAATAGGGTGCCTCGAACAAACTAGAGTTGCTAAGAAAATTCATGATCCTTCCAGAAACTCCAGCGTGCATGCTCCCAGCATCGCGTGACATCCGCTGTTGTAACACTATATTAATGAGGTATAACTTAGTTACTTTGACCATACTGTAAAAGCAAAAGAAACATGCAAAGGTAGCTGCAGTGGCTTCACTAGATCACACAGTATCTGAATGTGCTAAATGTACATTAGATGTAACTGTAATAAATAGTACTACATCCACAAATGCCATACAGTAGCTTGGTTCAGCCTGAGTGGCAGCAATACCTTGAACTGGCCACACCAACTATGCTGATGATGCAGATAGTGGTGTAAATTTGGATGTATATAAGGACCGAAAAAATGCCTTTTGTAATTGTGGATGTATCCGTCATTTGTTTCATAGGTGTTATTTCTCTGTATCTGCACTTGAACCCAAACACTCTCACAACAGACCAAATAGTCAACAACATGTTTAAGGAAGTTATAGGCTATAAATACTGACAGGTATGCTAATTTAAAATTGCAAGTTTTTATCATGTATGGCTATTAATCTGAAAGAAAACAACCACTGATTGTTTCTTTACATGTGATTTTTACAGGGCCAGATGAGATTGGTGAATTTTTCCCAGGCATGAGGTAAAGTTTTTATTTGATATAGATGCAGCTAAAACTTCTTTGTTACATGGGGTATCAGTCACTATCGTGTAAACTACCACTGTGATCAATAAACACATTTTCTTCTCATGAAAAGTTGTCAGATTACAGTGAATGGAGAAACTTGGATCAGAATCAGTATTGGTGCCATCATTAAGTATGCAAGAGATTAGTAGCAGATCTTGGCTCAAGTATTGGCAATTTAGGTTTACATATCCTGCAAAAGTTATCTACCAGTATAGCTCATGCACTGCATCTTTGTGGTAAAACCATAAAGTGTCAACCAGAATGTGTATTATGGCAATGATCTGCGCAAATGTGAATATATGGTGCCATTATAATGTTTACTAATATGTAATGATTCATGGTACACTGTGAATACAATCTCAGGTTGCACTACCAGCTAATGCTTTGGTTAAAACAATGTTAAAACACAGATTTATTGCTAAAAACAAGTCACATTTGCTCAAAAAGTTATCTTTGAGAGCCAGATACATCCCAGTTATGATTTGTAACTACAGCAGATAAGCTTTAAATATACTGACTGGAGTAACCAGTACACTGTGTAAGAGAGAAGAAACTGAAACTAGTTTAGCTACTTACTTTGGCAGATGTTTCCTAATTTCTACCATATCAACTACCCTATGTGGAAATATAGCATTTCTTGGACATATAGGGATTAGCGTTGGAGTGTCTATAGATTCTGTTAAAATCAAAGCAGTGGTAAGCTAGTCCAAATCTACAATCAAGAAGGAAGTTCAGAGATTTTTCAGCTATGCACCATATGATAAATACATTGTGTCGAACTTTTAAACAATTGCACAACATTTTGAGCATTAGGTAAAGTGAAGCCACATTTTACACAGACTGATGATTGTATAAAATCATTTCAATTACTAAAATCTGTCTTCTTTGATGCTCCAAAGTTAGCTTATCTGATGTTATACTGGATATTGATGCCAGTTAAATCAAATCAGTACTGTTTCAGTGTGGAGTGTGTAATAGCCTACATCAGCCCCACACTAGCATATGACGAATGCTGTTACTATATGATGAAGAAAAAAACTGCTTGCAATTATGTATTCATTTGTCAGTTTAACCACTATTTTTATGACCAGGAATTAAAATGCTTGAGTAGATCAAATATCATTAAAGTGATTTATGATATTTAGAAATTGAAAGTCAGCTTTGTACCAGGAGACAAGGTGTGGTTGTATAATCCCAGGAAGACCAAAGGGAAGTCTCCTAAGTTGTCTTCTCCATGGGAAGGCCCATATGACATAGTGGATTGTCTCTCAGACGTGACTTTCCAAATAAAATGTGATCGGCGAGATAAGCCGAAGGTGGCGCATGCCAACAGGCTTTGGCGTTATCACGGTCCAGGACATTTCAGTTGGAATGAAATGTAGAAAGGAACAAATGATGCTGCTGAAGACGTGTTACCTGAAAAAGCCGCTGTTGGAGAAGAAACTCTACCCGGTTTTGAGAGGGAAAACAGTGAAGCCGTTAATAACGTTACTACCACTAATGTGATTGCTATCGATAATGGGACATTTCCTGATGGAGCAGATGAGTCCCATGTGAAGCAGAATCCAATGAGATGGAGACCAGAATGAAAGAAGAAACGTCCTCTAAAAATTAAGAGACTTTGTTGTATTTTAATTTTGTATTTGTAAATTCTGTACATTTAATTAAGTTACTGTTAATTATTTATTGGTATAATGTAAATTATACTATCTATCCTTAAACTAAGGAAGGGGCAGTGACGCTAGTAACACGTCATAATCTCGAACGTTCACGTCCCTTCCTGAAGTCTCGAAAGGTTACTAGATATGCGGTATTCTTGTATATATAAGACCGGTAAGAAGTGACGGCAACATGTAATGTAATGTGTAATTGAACTGCAGAGAGAGATAGATAAGGACAGTTGAGTCGAACACGTGAGAC